GAGCCTACTTCAGATTCTGTGTCTCCCTCTCTCTGTACCTCCCCCACTCACACACTCTCTCTCTCTCTCCAAAAAAAATAATAAACACTAAAAAAGCATTTAAAATAAATAAAATATTTTCCTTTGTGTGATATTTTATTTTCTTAATGTTTATTTTTGAGAGAGAGAGAGCGCAAGAGAGAGCACACAAGTGGGGGAGGGGCAGAGAGAGAGGGAGACACAGAATCTAAAGCAGGCTCCAGGCTCTGAGCTGTCAGTGCAGAGCCCAATGCGGGGCTGGAACCCACAAACCGTGAGATCATGACATGAGCTGAGGTCAGATGATCAACCAATTGAGCCACCCAGGTGCCCCCTTTTCTTCAATTATTATATACGTCTTTATGGTAAATGCTGATAGTTTTCTGGGTATCGCTTAAAATTTGTTTCCCTAAGTTTATTCCTCAGGAATTTGTTGTAATTTGTCTGAAGAAAAAGTTCTCCCTGCAGAGCATATAACATTCTCATGTTTTCATGTTTTTAGTAAAAAGTAAAAATCTGTTTGCCATAACTATATACATTCTTTGAAATACACATATCGTAGCTCTCTTTTTACTCTTCTCTCTTTCCCCAGAGACTAAAACTCCATGCAATGTAACTAAAAGTTTCCCAATCTTTTTATGTCTCGGTGACTTAAAATGGTGGAGTTAATGTGAATCAGCTGTCATATCAAGAGCTCAGTGACATTGGTGATCGCACTGGATGGCATTTGGCCCTACAACAGGTGATATGAGGGCAAATATTAAGTCGTTAAGAAAACTGTGTGAACTTTTACTGCTTCTTGCTGTAACCGGCCAGCAGAATCCAGTTAGAAAAAGGGAGAAAAATTCATTTGCTTTACTCCAGGGGGCAAAAAGCATAGTCGAATGGAGTGAAGCATTTTCTTTTCGTTTCTGGATGAAAGGGTGTTGTTGAAGGGTGGTAAGTAGTGTGGGGGCAGCCGTGGTTGGAAATGTCTCTGTGATATGCAAAGATGGCCGTAATCATGGGGGAGAAATAGCGGCATCTTTCATGTGATGGAGATAATGTGCACCTGCGCAGAGGAGAGGCCACCTGTTTCTCTCCGTACCTACTTGTTCTTTGAAGTCGGGGACAGGGGTGCACCATAGGGGAAGGTGGCATTTCAGTTTTCTTCTAAAATTAAAAAAGGGACTGATAGCTACAAACCTTTGAGGAAGATGCAGAACTCTCAGTAGAGAAATGGCACAAATAGTGAGAGAACATTTGAGAACAGAAATCTCCCATTTTGAGAACAGAAATCCAACATCTAATGAGGAAGGGCTTAGATTCATTAGCAGTCAGACAAAATGCAAATGGGAGAGGCAAGGAGGGAGAGACCATCATCCAGCTTTCTAGACTGTTGCCAGTTGATAGTGCAGGAGTATAAAGTAAACTCTCTCTGTCTCTCTCTCCCTCTCTGTCTCTGGCTCTTCCTATTAAATTATTGCTTTTATTTATTTTTCTTAAATTTTCATCTGTATTTTTAAGGTAAGCAGTGATGGTGTTTTAGGAGAAAGGCAGTGGATGAGAGATGGCAATCTCTTTACATTTCTAGACTGGCAGCAATCTAGACAACTGGGTAAGAGGGTATGGGAATATGGGAAGTTTTATGCACTTTTAAGTGAGATTTGAGACTTATACCAGCGATTCTGAGGAGCCCTCTGGTGGTATCTAGATGCATAAAATAATGTTCACAAATGGTACTCCATGTCTTAGCAGTCATGATTCTGGGCATACAATCCTATAAAATGATTATGCAGGTCCAGGAAGGGATATAAACAAGCATACTCAAAGCTGGCATGACATCAGAAGAACACTGGGTCTATTCCAGGAGAAGCAGGCACGGAGCGCTGTGCATCACTTAGAAGCAACAGACTACACGCACAGACAGAAAAATGAAGTGTTTCACTCACTTGAGCTGAGTGGGGAGAATCTAAAAGGCAGACTTGCATGCATAATAAAGATTTGCATGATTTTAAATGCATGCGGGCGTACATAGGTGGTGAGGGTTGAATGCTCCATGAGAAGGCTTATGGCTGGATCATGACCAGGCTGTTGTTTCTCCTGGATTTGACCCCAGGCTTAGAAAGAGGTGAGCTGGTCGGATCTCTTCATCACTTTCCACCGTGAGGACTGGAAGAAAAGAGAAAGACAGAACACAGGGAGAGAAAAACATGAAGTGGACAAAGTGAGAAGAAAAGTGAGACCTGGGGAGTCAGTCATTCCAGACCCTGGTCCAAGGGGTGCTTTCTTCCAGAATTGTCCATCACTCCTTGATGGCTGATATCTCTTTGTATTAAACCTTGTATTAAATCCGTTGTGGCTTAAGCTAGCTCCAGTTGACTTGTTACTTCCTTTCAACCAAATACGCCACCTGCTTCCTGAGCTGGGTCCACGATGAGTTTGTGTACGAAGAGGATCGAACACTTCAGCATTCTGCGCATTAGCTGCAGAAGTACAGCGCTGAGTCTCTGGGTTCAGAGGCCCAGATTTCCAGGCTGCATTTGGGGGCGTTTAGCTGAGATTCGCTCCTTGAAGCAAGTCGATTTGATTAAGCACTTGATCTTTCTGAAAGTAGATAAAAAACTTAAACTCTTTTTTGGGGTCTGTTGATACCAGTAAACAAAGGCATGTCCTTTTTTGGGGATACAACCCATTCTTGTTTTCTGAACTTTGCCTTTGACTAGGTGTCCTGGGGTCTGGGTGACTTTGGCATCAAGAAAGCCTTTAAGAAGAAAACACAGAAGCTGTAGACAAAGCCCAGGAGGGATCCTACGAGGGAAGAGCTTGGGGCTGGGAGTCGATAAGCCCGGAACAAGATTTTTCTTGTGTGCTCAGGACTCACCGGCTCCCAGGAGACAAAGGGCCACACAGCAGAGGAGCCCTGAGCCCATGGTGGCCTCAAAGTATCAAAAGGACGAGGATTTTTCAAGCTCCATCAGAAACCTTCCTGGAACATGATGGCTTTGCAGACTCATAATCTTCATGTAACTGCTTCGTGTTAATGAGCAAAAACACCTCATGGCATCAGAAGGAAAGCTTTTATCCCAGTTGAGTAAATACACCTAGTCTGTATTTTATTCATTTAGAAATATTCATTTTATTTATTTGTTTTTCTTGTTTTTCTTTTTTTAGAGAGAGAGAGGGAGTGCAAGCAGGGGTAGAGGGTCAGGGGCACGGGAGCATCCCAAGCAGGCTCCATGCTCAGTGTAGAGCCCGGCGAGGGGCTCCCTCCCACCACCCGGGGATCATGATCTAAGCCGAAATCCAGAGTTGGACACTCAACTGACTGAGCCACCCAGACGCCCCTAGAAATATTCACTTTAAAAACATTTTATGTCTAGTTTTACCAGCAGAAACAATATCTATTTTTTTCAAAGTTAGGAAATAAAGATAAAACCACTTGACTGCCAAAGATGATGCCTGTTAACATCTTAGTGACGTTCTTTCCAGATCTCTCCTCCCCTCTGCATGTATGTGTACATTCTCTTTGACAAAAAGTATATCATTCTGTAAGTGCTGTTTTATAAGCTTTTAAAAAATTGTATTAACTTAATAAAATTTTGATAATCATCATCTTTCACTATCAATGCATTTTAACTTTATCTACTACCCAATTTTTATTCAAAGTTCAGCAACTGTTTGAAAAAAAATCCTTTTACACGGATTTCAACAGTTTCTAACCCAGGACTGGGTATTGCTTTGAGTGATTAATTATCTAATTATCTTTCCATTTAACACAGGTCCCTTTGGTTATTGTTGCTTTTGTGATTCTGAGGCTAACCACTGCTTTGCAGAATATTTTACCTTCTTGATATTTTTGGTATGTTTCAGCTTGTTCATTTATTGTGAGATAAGTTCTCATTTTCTTCTCTGATTTTTCTATCAACCTATAGTTTAAGTAGTACACTTCTTTTTTCGTGATCTATTTTTGCTTACTTTCTTCTTCCTTCCCACCCTCATTCTGGGGAAGAATGTTAACAGTGGAATGTGTATCTTACCATAGGTTTCTTCTTTCCCCTTCAATTGTTCAGTGAGGTTGTTTTCTCCACATTAAAACACTGATATTGAATATATATCCAATAATTTGATAACATAGCAATACAATGAGCGCTTGAACAAACAACCCCCCTCTGGAAATAAAATATTGTCAGCACCTTTGAAGTCTCTAGATTTTCCCTCCCAGACCTCATGACCCACCTCCCACGCCACCCCTCTATTTTATTTTAATTATTCTCTTCCTAGACTGTTATCTCCTGGCAGAAAGGATGTGTTGCTATTCAGTTTTGTATCCTTTGCATTCAGAAAGGGGACGGGACACAGTAACATCTCAAGAAAAGATACAGATAAGTGTCAAAAGAGTGATTAAGGGGCGCCTGGGTGGCTTAGCCGGTTAAGCATCCGACTTTCGCTTAGGTCATGATCTCGCGGTTCGTGGGTTCGAGCCCCGCGTCGGGCTCTGTGCTGACTGCCAGCTCAGAGCCTGGAGCCTGTTTCAGTCTGTGACTCCCTCTCTCTCTGACCCTCCCCTGCTCACGCTGTCTCTCTCTCTCCTAGAAATAAATAAAAATATTTTTTAAAAACAAGAGTGATTAAAACACGGGAGGCACGCATAATAAAGTGTATCTCCTGGGTCTGTTCCCTTGATTGCTTAGTTAAGAATCCAGAGAGAGGGGCGCCTGGGTGGCTCAGTCAGTTAAGCGTCTTTCTTACTTTGGCTCAGGTCATGATCTCGCTGTTTGTGAATTCGAGCCCCGTGTCTGGCTCTGTGCTGAAGCCTGGAGCCTGCTTCAGACTCTGTGTCTCCCTCTCTCTCTCTCTCTCTCTGCCCCCTCCCCCACTCTCACTCTGCCTCTCTCCTCTCTTGTTCTCAAAGATAAATAAACGTTAAGAAAAAATATTTTAAAAACTGAAAAAAAAAAAAAAAAGGCTGGGGGGGAGGGAATACAGAGAGTGCAGGAAGGCTACTCGGCAGAGGAGGATTTTAGAACGACGGCAACCGTGGGACCACAGGGTTGGAGCCGGTTTCCGTGCAGGTGGCCGGTGGCCGTGCTCCACCGTGGTGCGCTTCCAGAACAGAGGTACAAGCCTGTTTGGCTGGTGTGTGCCAGCTTCACAGTGAGAGGAGACAGCCCTTTCTCCTCTCGAGAAACACCGTAGCCTTCAGTTATGTCTCCCTTCTGGATATCTTTTTCAACCGTTGAGTAGTAAATCAGTCTCAGACCTTGCCCCGGGGCCTGCCGGTACCAGTACATGGCACTGAATTGCAAGTTCTGTTTACACTCCAGGGTCACATCCCGTCCAGCCCTGCTGAGCAGGAACGCGGGGGTCTGGTAGATTTCAGCGTGTGCGGGTCCTGTGGGGTAAAGATAGGAAGGCTGAGGATAATGTCCAGAAGGGGGGCCCAAAACTACTGTAAGAAGAAAGTAGCAGAGTTGGGGGGCTGCAGACCCGGGATAGGAACTTACTGACTGGGTGTTGGACTCACCTGTTCCCAAGAGACACAGGGCCACATAGCAGAGGGCGCGGCTGCCCATGACAGGCATAGAGTCTTTGTGAAGGTCTAGACACAGGCTCTGAGAGAGTCCAAGGGAGGGGACTAGAATGTAGGGCTCCCCCTGCCACGGTTGCACAAGTCGTCACTGCTGTAAGATGAATGACTGTCACAGCTCATTTTGTGGCTGGGGATGGTAAGGCTCAGAGATCAAGGTCTTCTGCCTACACAGCTCTTTATATCCCTTCTAAATGGACAAGTTCCGGAATGGTGAGATTCCCCATTTCCTGGTCGGAGTCACACTCAGTACACCCTATGTCTCTGTGCTCGCTGTGACGAGATTGTGGAAAAGAAATGCCTACAATTTTCAGAGTCTATTGCTTGTCTATCAACTGCTCTGCTCCCACCAATACCGTTCCAAATACAAGAATGTGTTCGAATTTTTTGTTTTTATAAAATAAAGCCAATTCTCTCCATCCTCTGTGTTTATTATCATTGATACAATAGAGATGGAGCACAGACTCCTCAAGTGATTTTGGCAACAGAAAAGGGTCCTAAGCCCACCCTCCCCGAGGACTGTGGACTGGAGCCTGGGCTGGAGTCCTGGTCCTGACATTTAGCAGCAGTTACCTAAAGGTGGACGAGTCTCTTGCTTCCCTTTGATTTTATTTTCTTATTGGTAAGATGGGTATCATGAGTTTCTACTTCAAAAGTTGTTGTGAACTTTATCTAAATAAGGAATTTAGAATAGTTCTTCATACAGAGTAAGCACCATATTTGCATTTGCTATTATTATTTTCTGGACCTGGTGTTGTAATCCATGGGATTTGTGGAGTTAATACTATGTCAAAGAAAATCAGACATTTACTGACACAGAATTGTACTAGCTAACTAAAATATATTTTCCAGTATTGAGTTGAAATGTACGCAACTAATGTAAATTCATTGCATAACATAGTTTCTTCTTGAGAGTCTTAGATAAATAAAAATAAATATCATGGATTATTTCTTAACAAATGCTACTACTTTGATAGATCAATGTTTCCTTTATTTTTATGTCTATGGTTATCTGTAATAAAAGACAGTTTCATGGGGCATCTGAGTGGCTCAGTCAGTTAAGTGTCCAGCTCTTGATTTTGGCTCAAGCCATGATCTTGCAGTTCGTGGGTTCGAGCCCCACATCAGACTCCATGCTGACAGTGTGAGGCACGCTTGGGATTCTCTATCTCTATCTCTCTCTCTCTCTGCCCGCCCCCCACTCGTGCTCTCTCTCTCTCTCTCTCTCTCTCTGAATATAAATAAATAAACTTAAAGACACTTTGAGATGCCTGGGTGGCTCAGTTGGTTAAGCGTTCAACTCTTGATCTCAGCCCAGGTTAATGATTTCACAGTTTGTGAATGTGAGCCCCACATCTGGTTCTACAGTTCTTGGTTCCTGCTTGGGATTCTCTCTCTCCTTCTCTCTGCCCCTCCCCTGCTTATGTGCATCCCCCCTTTCTCAAAATAAATAAATAAACTTAAAAAATTTAAAAACAGACACTTTTATGATGAAACTTTTGATTGGAATGTAGTGGCTTAGAAATGGTTGCTGCCTGCTCCTAAAAGAAAGGGGCGTGAGTGTGTGTGTGTGTGTGTGTGTGTGAGAGAGAGAGAGAGAGAGAGAGGGAGAGAGAGGGAGAGAGAGAGAGAGAAAGAGACAGACGGAGAGACAGAGAGAGAGAATGAGAAAGAGAGGGAGAGAAGGGGAAAGGCTAATGATATAGAGTTAGGACCATCAGAAAGGGCAGCAGTGTGGGTAGAACTCTGAGAAAGAATGCTTGCTGACAGGTTGCTTCCAACGACCAGGTCAAGGCTTCAAGTTCTCAATCACATCTGCAAAGCTGAGGATCTCATTCCTCACGCAGGGACTCTTAACCTTATTGGTACATGGACCCCTTTGGCAATCCAGCGAATCCTAAGGACCCCGTCTCAGAATAATGTATTAAACCCATGAAATAGAATACATTGTATTATGAAGGAAATGAGTTATTTTGAAATGCAGTTATCAAAAATTTTTAAGGAAATTTATGATATATGAATATGACATCTTTAAAATTTATTGAATAGAATATATTGTGAGTTGCAGACTACCCTGATTTCAAAGTAGTAGTGAGAATAAATTATATTTATTTTACATAATGAGGGATGAATATATCTATGCCTGTCATATCAAATGTAATATATGCAAAATATCTGTGATTTCTGTTATTGGCTTTGTCATAGGTACTGTGAACACTGCTATATTTATTAGCTGTATCTATCATGAGCTAAGTGCTCTAGTTTAGTTAGAGGTTAGTGAAAATAAAGATACGTTTATCTCATTCAAATTCATGGATTCCCTGAATTTGTGTCCATGGGTCACAGATTAGGATTACTGTTTTTTTTTAAATTTTAATTTATTTTGTTATGCCTGAATCGCAAGTCCCCAGAGACCTCCAAGGAGCCAACACCGATGCAAGTACATAAAGTCTTTTATTACAAGCTCAAGCAGGGGCTCACCTGTCAACCGGCGCAGCGGCAGCAGGGTGAAAAGCCCCGAACAATAGCGAGCAAGGTTTTTATGGGGTAAGGGACGAGGGTGTTACAGTGCACACATTGTATGTGTAGCGTCATCACATAAACACCAATTACAATTGTACAGCATCCATGGTAACAGTTTTGGCCATTCAGTATCTGTGAGGTGTTCATTACTTTTGGCGGGACCCAATCATGACCTTTGAGAATGCTTTGAAAATGACCAATTATGAGGTGAGCTCAAAGGGCCTACGTGGGGTTTAGGCAAGCAGTGAGTGATTGACTAGTTTGTACAGAGTAACTGCCTGCAGTTCCCAGCCCTGACTCAGACACAGGAATGTTACACATTTCTTTTGATTGGCTGACCCGAGGGTGGTCCGAGGGTGGCTTCAGCTGAAGCTTTTCTTGGAACTGGGGCTACAGGCAGCCCGCGGTTGCTTTTAACGGAGGCCTTAATCTCAGGCTCCTCAATTTTTGAGAGAGAGAGAGAGACAGACAGAACATGAGCAGGGGAGAGGCAGAGAGAGAAGGAGGCACACAATCTGAAACAGGCTCCAGGCTGTGAGCTGTTAGCACAGAGCCCGATGTGGGGCTCGAACTCTTGAATGGCAACATCATTACCTGAGCCAAAGTCAGACAGTTAACCCACTGAGCCATCTGGGTGCCCCAGGATTATTGCTTTGAAAGAGAATATAATTCATACTGGAATACATAGAAAGAAACATTAGGAAAGGTCATGTATTCCCAGAAATAGTTGGCTCACAAATCTCAGATTTGTCAAAAGTGTCCTGATTTTTTAAAAAGTAAAAAAAATGTAAACAACTACTTTAGATAGATTTGCAGACCTAAATTTGACCTAATGGGTACTTACTATGGTTGTATTCTAGTCCTGAGAATGTGATACAATTTTATAAAATACCTTTCTATGTACCATCTTCAATGTCAGTTACCTTCCACCTCCTCTTCTTCCAACCCTTCTTCCTCCTCCTCCCCCTCCTCATTTTCTTTATCATGATGTATATGTGATTCTTGAGGGAATTTATGGGAGTAGAAAGTGACAAGAACACAGTGTGATGGAGATATACTTGCTTGCATGGAAGAGTGAGGCTTTATGCAGAGGAACTCTGCAACCAGAAATAATATCTCCTAAGTGGAAAGCAAAAAATCTACACAGTATATTCTTTAAAATAACCTTTTACAATAGCAAACATGACTAATTCTGAGGCACGTCAGATCCCAATGAATGGTAATATATATGTACTCTCCTTGTTGACCAAATTTAGATCATTCTGGTGCATTCAAGATCCTTGTCATATTTGTTGCTCGGCTGTGTCAAGTTTCAGAGGCAGCTCAAAGGAATAAATAATAATAGTTACATTATTAAACATTTTTTCCCATATTGCAAAAGATTCCATAGCCTGCTCCCATTCCATGCCTTTAATGAGGTACTTCTCCATCTGGGATGTTTATATATTTTCTTTTTAAAAATTTTTTTCTTTATTCTTCTAAATTGTTTATTTTTTTAAAAATTTTACATTTATTTTTTATTTAAATCCAAGTTAGTTAACATATAGTATAATAATGGTTTCGGGTATAGAACTGAGTAATCATCACTTACGTATAATACCCAGTGCTCATCCCATCAGGTGTGCTCCTATTAAGCCCATTGAGCCCATCCCCCACCCATCTCCCCTCCAGCAGCCTTTAGTTTATTCGCTATACTTAAGAGTCTCTTAATGTTTGTCTCCCTCTCTGTTATCTTATTTTTCCTTCCCTTCCCGTATGTTCACCTGTTTTGTTTATTGTATCCCACATATGAGTGAAATCATGTGATATTTGTTTTTCTCCAACTGACTTATTTCACTTAGCATAATACATTCTAGTTCCATCCATGTTGCTACAAGATTTAATTCTTTTTGATCCCTAAGTAATATTACATATATTATAAATAAATGTATATAAATATATGTATATATTATACATATATTATAATATAATTGTTATATATGAATTATAAATGTATATAAATATATGTGTATATATACACATATAAATATGTGTGTGTGTGTATATACATATATATATATAAATATCTCACATCTTCTTTATCCATTCATCAGTTGATAGACATTTGGGCTGGTTCCATAATTTGGCTATTGTTGAGACTGCTGCTATAAACATCGGGGTGCATGTGCCCCTGTGCATCACCACTCCTGTATCCTTTGGATAAATACCTAGTAGTGCAATTGCTGGGTCGTAAGGTAGTTCTATTTTTAATTTTTTTAGGAACTTCCATACTCTTTTCCAGAGCGGCTGCACCAGTTTGCACTGGGATGTTTATATATTTTCAAAACAAACACTGAAAGAATAAACCGGGAGAATAATAAAAATGGTTGCCCAAAAGGGGTAAGAAGAAATCGGGTGAATGGAACACATAGGAAGCAAGAGCAAGATGTGGCATTTTCACTCAAATGTATTAATTATATGAAAAATAAACAGTCTAAATAATCCAATCAAAAGGAAGAGATTGCTAATCTGGATATGGAAAGCTAGGAACACTGAACTGATTGGGTAGGTGGATGAGGAGAAAGGTGACCCTGTGGTACAGGACCAAGGACCTGACAAAATGGCCCCCAGGGGAAAAAGAAGAGGGCTCCTTGCAAGACTAGCTGGGCTGCAGCGCCCCATCTCCACTCCAAGTCACACGTGCTGCAGGGAAAACACACCCTTGTGTTATTCTTAACACCTGGCTTGGCTTCTTTCCATCAGCAAAGAGTACATCATCTTAGAGTTTCGCAACTTTTACCAATATGTTTGAACTAGCATAGTTTACCTGATACAGAGCAATACTGCCACTGAGGGGGTTCACAGAGGAGGTGAGGTGGCCTTGTGAGCTCACATACACCTGCTGGTGAATGACTGTCTTCTGGAGAAGGTCTGTATTTTATGTAACGTACTGATGACGAGGCATCAGTTGAAACTGGAAAAACTAAACTGAATTGGGCTGATGTGAAATCTTGGCAGAAAATATTTGAATAAATAAAGTGCTTATAAATATTAAAAAGCACAGAGTACATTTCTTTAAAATGAATAGAAAAATTCAACAAAATATGTGCAAGATGTGTCTGATTAAAAAAAAACTACATAGTGATGCTGAGAAAAATTAGCAAAGGCCTCAATGAAAGAGCTTGAGGGAATGTTCTATAGCTGGAAATGTTTTACAGCTTGACTGTCATGCTGGTCACGTGGGCGTCAAAACTGGTCAGGACATTTTGAAATATGTACTTAATTTTATGGTGTGTATGTTATGCTCCAGAAAGTTGCTTTTAGAAGTTGTGGTATTGTAGTATTTTGGACGGAGGGGGGTTGCTGAGTTTCCTACCAAGGTTCTAGGGCAGGGACAGCTGTGAGAAGTAGCCACAAACCCTAACAAGTCTCTGGGTCTGGTTCAAAGACATATGCTGGCCCAGATGGCCAGGGTCTACATGAAAGACAGGTGACCTGCCCATTATTCTTTGCCAGGTGAAAGCACAGAATTACAGGTTTTCATACAGATCGTTAAAAATCCACCAGATTCGTGGGGAAGAAAAGGTATCTTGGGTCTTTCCTTCTTTCCTTTGCCAGATACCCTGCAAACTGGGGAGCCTGAACCCCTTTTTACACTTTCCTTCCCCTTCCGTAGGGTTCTGTCCCCATCAGCTCTTTTAAACATCCCTCTCTGGGGCGCCTGGGTGGCTTAGTCGCTTATGTCATGATCTCCCGGTTCGTGGGTTCGAGCCCCGCGTCGGGCTCTGTGCTGACTGCCGGCTCAGAGCCTGGAGCCCATTTCAATCTGTGACTCCCTCTCTCTCTGCCCCTCCCCTGCTCACGCTGTCTCTCTCGCTCTCTCCTAGAAATAAATTTAAAAAAACAAAACAAAACAAAACAGAAAAACATCCCTCTCTGCTCACCTACACTTGCTGTCTACACATTCTTCCTTCTGGTTCATGGTCCTCCTCACTGGGTTTCTGTTAGTTCCTACCTACCTAACACACCACGTATTTCCTGGGTGGGCCCATGACGTGTTTGTGTTCTAAGGAAAGCTGACATTCAGCACTGTGGATTCGCTGCTGGCACAGAAATACAGGGCTGAATCCCCTGGCTTGGTGGACTTGATTTCCAGGCTGCAAGGTGAGTTGCCGGGGCACTGAGCCGAAAATTGATCATCGAACATCTCTACTTTATCGACAATGTTTTGATTCTGTAAGTAAACCAGAAACTTGAACTCTTCTGACTTTTGTTGATACCAATAAACGTAAGAATGTCCTTTTACAGGGGTACAATCCATCTTTGCTGTCTGTTTTTCCCCTTTGACCAGGTGTCCAGGATTCTGGGTGACCTGGGTGTCCACGGAACCTGTGGAGGAAAGAGACAGAAACTGGAGAGAAAGCCCAGGAGGCAGCCTGACATGCAGCCACCGGAGAAAGTCCTGAAGCTGGAATGCAACAAGTCCACAGCACGAGCTCACCTGCTCCCCAGAATAAAAGTGCCACGCAGCAGAGAAGCCTGAAGCGCATGGTGGGCTCAGGAGAAAAGCAGTGGCAGGTGGCCTTTGCTATAAGTCTCCCCTGTCCCCATCAGCAACCTCCTTGTGATGCAATCGCTGGCCATTGCCTTCACAGCCACCGTGTGTATGAGACTAAAACATTTCATGGGATGTAGGAGGGCAGGGAGAGCTGCCGGAAACCACTAGGGTGAGTTTCCACCTGCCTTTACTTCCTTTCTCGCAGACTCTGCTCTTCTGCTATTTTTTTAAAGTCACTTATACATTATTCACTTCTTTGCTTTTTAACTTGTTAATTTACCTTCCCCCCTTCCCCTTTCTGTCTCAGGCAATGGATCACATAGCATGCTGTATATCAATCATAGTTTTGCCACACTTACACAATCACTGAGCAGTTACTTTATGTTAAAAAAATGTTGACCTATACAAAACAATATTTATGACAAATGCGTGATGCATCTAGGGAAACGATAGAATGACTGCTCTCGCCTGAGGCAATCGGCTTAGGACTTGGGTTCTGACAACTGAGAATTGAAGCCCCTGTGTCATTCTTCTAGATGTCATTGTTTTCTCACCATGTCCAGGTCTCCATTGCCCTGAAGTTTACATTTTTATTTTCTGGCTTTTCATTATATTTGTAGTACGTAAATAAACATCCATACATTACAAATTATTTAATGTTGTCTGTCTTTGAAATTTATCTCAGGGGGGTCATTTTATTCATATTTTCTCTGTGACATGTCTTTTTTCCTTCAGCATTAAGTCTGTGATATTAATCCATGTTGATGCATATGATTAATATGTAGCATTCTTTTCTTTTCCACTTATTCGCTAAAATTTATTATAAACTCTTTTGTTTTTAATATTCTTATTTATTTCTGAGAAAGAGAGAGACAGCGTGAACAGGGGAGGGTCAGAGAGAGAGGGAGACACAGAATCGGAAGCAGGCTCCAGGCTCTGCGCTGTCAGCCCAGAGCCTGACGGGGGGCTGGAACCCACGAACCGTGAGATCATGACCTGACTCGAAGTCGGACGCTTAACCGACCGAGCCACCCAGGCGCCCCTATAATCCACTCTTGAATAAGTGTTTTGTTCTATGTTTTAATGCTGCTACAAACAGTGCTCCATTTTTGTACATCTTCCTGCATATGCATATCTAAGTGTAGGAATTCCTCTATGTCTGGAGTCATAAAGACTCTGCCTTCCAGTGTCCATGTCACTTTACATAATGTGGCAAGATGCTTTCAAATTAGTCAAGCCACATACAGGTTCCATCGTCAGTTTGTGAGTGTTTTCAACTGCTCCACATCTAAGACCTAAGGAGTGGTTAATATCCTTTTGATTTCATCAGGTTAAAATGGACCCTACACCTCCAATTTGCATCTCACTGATTGCTAAGGAAGTTGAGCACATTTTTCATATTTCTAGACCATGAGTGTTTTCTGTAAATGGCTCTTTGCCCATATTTCTTTGCGTTCAACTAGCTATTATTTATTTGTAACAGTTCTTTGTATATACTGGGAACCAAACCTTTGTCGGTTATATGTGTCACTGGTATCTCTCAATCTGTGGCTTGTGTTTTCATTCTCTTTGAGATTTTTTTTTTTTTTTGCTTGAATTTCTTAGTTTGGTAGAGACTACCATTCATGGGGGGGGGATGCATTTTTAAACTTTTTATTAAAAAATGCCCCCATAGCTTAAGTTCTTAGAGATATACTCCTATGTTATGTACCAAAACAATGAACATTTAGAATTTTTCATTTAAGTGTTTAATCCATCTAGAACTTACTTTCTGCTTATGTTGCAAGGAAGGGTTTCAATTCATCTTCTGTGGATAACCACTCATTCCAGAATAACTCACTGCCTAGTCCATCATTTCCTTATATTCCTGCAATAATGGTTGTCATATATTAAGTGCCTTATATGCACGGGCCCATTTTTTATCTTATTTTTTTAAATGTTTGTTTATTTTTGAGAGACAGAAAGAGACAGAGCATGAGCAGGGGAGGGGCAGAGAGAGATGGAGACCCAGAACCGGAAGCAGGCTCCAGGCTCTGAGCTGTCGGCCCATAGCCCGACAGGGGATTTGAACCCACAATCCATGAGATCATGACTGAGCTGAAGTCTTACGGGTAACTGACTGAGCTACCCAGGCGCCCCAAGTCTTCATATTATTTTCAATTTGTCTATTTATGCCTTTTCCATTATCCTAACTCATAAAATAATTGGGTGGTCGGTGGGGCAAGCTTTTGTAAAAAGCGAAGGATTTATATGATCTGAAGAGATACCGGGGTATTGGTAGGGCGACCTTGTGATTTTAATTAGTGCTGCATAGAATCCACGGATGATACTGCAGAAACTGCAATACTATTATTCCTTTTGGGTTTACTTACTTGCTTTCATAGCACTTATCTCCACTTATTTCAGATTTTTAAATTATCTACTTCTAAAACATCAGTATTTTTGCACTAAAGTGTTGCTTATCTTTTAATAGATTTGTTCTTAAGTGTTTTATGTTACTATTTGTAACATAGTTAAAAGTATGTTACATATTTAAAAATATAGCTTTCCACGGTCCCTATTATATGGGAAAAAACCCTGACTTAATGTTTATATTGAATTCCAAAAACATAAAACTTTAGATTTTCTTATTAATAATACAATGATACTTTAGATTCATTTGGGTCTTCGTTTAGGCTCATCATCTATCGATAACCACATTTACCCCTTCCTTTCTCTATTTCACCCTTTTTTCTTGTTCTGGTGGCTGGAGATTCAACAATACCGAGTAGAAACGATGATGGCATTTATTTGCTTATGTACCAATAATGTATGCTTTGGACAACAGTAGGATCCAGGTATGTGGTAAATGCTGTTAGATCCCACTGTTTCAAGAACCTACTGGCATCTCGTCATATCTGCACGTCATTCTTCCAGCCAGCACCTAAAGCATCTCACCTGAGGTACCAAAAGTATCAGACAGCTTCTTAGATGGAAGAGCTATGCTTGCTCTTTATGCACCAGAGGTGTTTTACAGAAAGACCCACACTACCCCCTAGTGGTCAAAGGCGCAAATTCATCAGACGCCCTCCGCCCTGACTTCACTCACCTGCCCCAAGGTGAATGGGGGGTTGCCAGTTCCAAATTGCGAAGGAGCAGCCAGACACCTCCAGTATTAGAGTGGTACTAAGGACCCAAGCATCCTTTGGTGTGGTCATCTGCCTGCGTATCGCATAGAATTGTTACCAGTAATTGTTACACATTGACTCAGTTACTAATCTAATATTGTTTGATGGTTTATCACTGTAATTTGCCTTCTCAGCCTTTTCTAGTCACCATTCGAGGTGCAAGTGCTCCTTCAATTTCTGTCCTAGATTCTCTTCTCTTTGTACTTTCCGTCGTCAAGGATCGTATGCTCTTTCGTTCTTCCAGCTTTGCTAAATGTCCGGAAGTTTTAGCTGTCTCCAGTGTCGCCTTGTCCTCACCCCCTTCCTTCCTCTTTCCTCCTGCCTCCTTACTAACTATATCTTTCATTAATCACGCCACTTGCTTCCCTGTCTGAAAAATGTTACCCTGAATCTTCCAGCCATGCCTATCGGTTCATTATCCCCAGTTCCACTTAATTAACTCCAGCTCATCTTTAAGATGTCATCTTAAACATGACGTCCTCTAGAACCAGCTCTGTGGCTCGGTTGGGTCTTCCTGTGTCATAGGCAGAGGCACCTGGGGCCCCACAATACTCTGTCTGTACCTGACGGGTACAAGGGCAGAGGCTCCAGATCACAACACATTTTTTCCCATGACTTTGAAACTTTAACAGCGACAGAAGATAGTGGCTGCTGAGGCTTTCTATGTCTGTCTTTCAGAAAGAAGATGGGTGAGCTCCTGTTGCTTAGGAACACGGGGGTAGGGTTTCTGTTCTCATTAAACAGTCGTCAGTTGTCTCTTTTCTCATCCTCTGAGCTCATCGGGGCATCCAGGCAACCAATTCCCTTTAATAAGTTAAGTTAGTGGGTTTGAAAGGGGCTCTTTCCTCCTGTATCAGATTTACTTTCCTTTTATCTTTTAACAGCTTTATTGAGGCGTAACTGATGCACAGAGAGCTGCACATATATAATATATAGAGTTTAAGGAGTTTGGTGATAGGCATACACCCATGAAGCCGCACCATGATCAAAGTAATAGATGTATCTGTTACCTCCAAAATATTCTTGTATCCCTTTGTTTTGTGGGGTTTTCTTTTTTTGTGTGTGTGTGGCAAGAACAGTTAACATGGGACTTAGCCTCTTAACAAAAGTTCAAGTGCACAATACAATATTGTTAATGATAGTCACTACGTTGTACAACTGTGTTGTATAGCACATCTCGAGCCAGTCTTCATCTTGCATAACTGAACTTTGTATCAATATGACAAATCCCGTTTCTTTCTTCTCATAGACCTTGGCAATCACCATTCTACTTTCTGCTTCTATGAGTTTGACTGCTTTGGATACTTCATATAAGCGGGATCTCGTATTACTCATCTCTCTGTGACTGGTTTATTTCACCTGGCATTGTTTCCCAACAACATCCATGTTGTTGCAAATGGCAAGATTTCCTTCTTTTTTAAGGTTCAGTAATATTTTATAATATGTATACACCACATTTCTTTATCCACTTGTCTATTGATGGTTATTTGTATGGCTTCTATATTTTGACGATTGTGAATAATGTTGCAATGAACATGGGGGTGCAGACATCTCTTCAAGATCCTGATTTCAATTCTTTTAGCTATATACCCAGAAGTGGGATTTGTTGGGTGGCAGTTTTTAAATTTCTTTTTTAATTAAAAATTAAAAAATAATTTGGCGGAACCTCCATATTGTTTTCCGTAACAGCTCCACCATATAGTGTACAAGGGTTCCCATTTCTCCACATCTTCACCAATATCTTTGTTCCTTTAATAATAGCCATGTGAAGTGATATCTCATTTTGGTTTTGACTTGCATTTCCCTGATGATGAATGGTCTTGAGCACCTTTCCATATAACTCACGTCCATTTATATGTCTTCTTTGGAGAAATGCTTATTCAAGTCCTTTGACAATTTTTAAATTATTATTATTTATTATTTTTATTTGCTATTAGGTTGTAGGAGTTTCTTGTATATTTTCAAATATTAACATTTTATCAGATACGCGGTTTGCAAATATTTTCTCCAATTCCATACAAACTTATAATAATTAAGAGTATGATATCGACATAAAGACAGACATATAGACAACTGAAACAGAATAGACAGACCAGAAATAAATCTACCTTGACCTTCGACAAGGGCGCACAGTGGGAAAGGACAGTCTCTTCAACAAATGGTGTTGCATGTTGGACACCCACATGAAAATGAATGAAAATGGACCTCTATCGTGTACGATGCACAGAAGTCAATTCAAAATTGATCAAAGACTTATACATAAGATCTGGAACTGTAAAACTTCTAGAAGAAAACACAGGAAAAACTTGCTGACTGTGGTCTTGACAATGATTCTTTTTATCACCCTAAAGGCACTGACCACAAAAACAAAAAGTAAGCAAGTGGGGACTACATCAGAATAAAATGTTTGCTTTCCTTTTGAACAGTGAATTGGAAGTTTTTTACAAGAAACTTAAAACTCTAAGAGATTTTCTACTGGCCTTTC